TTCTCTCTAGGTGACTCTCCTTAGGCACACTCTACATCATCGATCACTTTCTTCTTTGGCCCCATAATCTCCTTGATCAGAAAATTTGGGACACTACTGAGTTACATGACGTTACAGTGCAAGTTCTCATATGTCCGGAGGCTTAATTGACCTTGGAAGGCTAGGGCCAAAATGTTGGTTTTCCTTGCAGCTCTCCTTTTTCTCTAATTTTGGTCTGCAAACTTAGGTTGTTAACCCTCCAGAAGAGAAGCTTATTGTTATTACCGTACAACCTAGGTTGTTAAGCTTAACCTCACTATCTGTCTGCATATCAAACATCTTAGGCATAATAAGGAACAGGTATTTTTCATCAAGTATTGATATGTTGACTTTAAGTCCTTACAGAATATGATGAAAAAACATTTAAAAATTAAAATATATTTTAAAAATAAGCATAGGGGCCAGGGAGATAGCTCAGTAGAATAAGCGCTTGCCTGGCAAGCGCAAGGGCCTGAGTTCAATCCCCAGTTCTAAAAAAAAAAAAAAGCATAAAGAATTATAATTCTTATGTTTACATGTAAGTCCAGAAATCCAACCATATACAACCTTGAAGCAGGACAGTCCCACAGCATTCCTATTCCTGTCTCCTGCCTTCATTTACCACCTCCTTCTCAGCCTATTGTGTAGCTTAGGCTGCAAATGCATCTTGTTAGTGCTAAATAGCAGATAAAAACTGAAATGTATGGGGGCTTAACATTCCTGCAGCTGTGCCTGGATTTGTAAAGGAAAAAATAAGAACATTTGAATTAAGTACATAAACTGCCTGGCAAGATGAAATCCACTGGATCATTAGTTAACTCCAGCTCATATTCGTAAAATCACTTTCTTGTCTGTTACGGTGCCAGGGAGAGCCACCTTTGTCATTCTTCTTGTCGTTTTAATTGTAATCCTGAGAACATGGCTATCGGATCTTAATGGTCACCTCAAGATTGTACACATGGCTGTTAGCTCAGAAAATCAGAGTGAGAACAAGACAGTCTATGTATAGAAGGCATCTAGTACCTGAGCAGGGCGCCTTGATGCCTCTGTCCTATTCACCCACAGCTGTTAGGATCAGTTTTAGAAAACTTACTCCCAGGTGACCAGCTTTGGGGCAGTGTCTTGGTCATCTTCTCATTGCTGGCAGGAAATATCCAACAGCCACAACTTCCAGGAGGGGAGGTTTATTTTGGCTCAGGGTTCCAGTCCATGGTTGGTTGGCTGCAAGGCAGACAGGATGGCAGAGGTGAAGGAAAAGTGCTTAGCCTAGAGCCGCCAGGAAGCGGGGAGAGGAGAAAGGAGCGGGCTCTTTCTTCCAATAGCACGCTTAATTGCTCCACACACATGCTAATTCTGGGGCGGGG